GTGTCCGTAAGGCGAGAGTTGACTGTATTTTTGTCGGGGATTTTTCTCCTGTCCGTAATAGCAAGGTGTTCGTAATATCGGGGTGTCCGTAAGGCTAGAGTTGACTGTATTTTTGTCGGGGATTTTTCTCCTGTCCGTAATAGCAAGGTGTTCGTAATATCGGGGTGTCCGTAAGGCGAGAGTTGACTGTACATTCAATGTTCTATGCACACAACGCTCATCTCACATATTGAGAAAACCCTCGTAGCAAGGGAGAGAACAACACATCAAACAAACTCAATTCACATATGGCTCCAAATCAACAGCACTTACCATTCATAAATGTCGTAATATACGAGTCTTTTTCTGCTTTCTTGGTACAGAAGGTAATGATGAGCGTCATGCGGTAGTCTATTCGAGTCAGGAAATACGTACTTTGAACCCTCTGAAAGATAAAGTTAGGACTTATGTAGGAGCGTGATTTTAGCAAGATATAAAAAGATTTATACTACAATAGTACAATACAACCCAGAGGGTGTTTCAGAGTTCGATATGTAAGTTCCCACGTGAACTGACTTAGATCAGCCAAGAGGTTGTTTCAGGGTTCGATCTGTGAGTTAGCCATGCCCTGACTTAGATCAGCCCAGAGGTTGTTTCAGGGTTCGATCTGTGAGTTAACCATGCCCTGACTTAGATCAGCCAAGAGGTTGTTTCAGGGTTCGATCTGTGAGTTAGCCATGCCCTGATTTAGATCAGCCCAGAGGTTGTTTCAGGGTATCGATAAAATATGAAGTCTTTTGAAGGTAGCACCGTATTTCAAGGGCACCAAACTCAACTCAACCCCATTCCATATTGACTAACGTTATCAAAGAAGTAGACAATCTTGTCTGTGTAGGTGAGATCGTGTCCATGGTTCTTGTCCATTATGATCGATATGATGTTCGGCCAATGCTCTACAGGACGCTCCTAAACAAAAAACTGATGTATAATACCTCTAAATACGACCCCCTCTGGATACCGACCATCATGAAATATCGGTAAGAAAACATCGTTGTATAGACCAATGTATATGCCTCCCTGACCTATTAATGCACGGGTGGCGGGTCGCTTCAAATGCGCTGCCTCTCGCCAATGCGACCCGGCTACGAGTCCTGCCGGTCTCAGTGTCGTATGTGAGTAGAGTTGTTTGTTGGTTCTCTCCTGTGCTTCGAGGGTTTTTCTCCGGGTTCTCCGGTTTTCCTCCCTCCTCAAAAATCAACTTCTAAATCAGTGGCGGATCTAGGGGTGGGTTTTGGGGGTTGCAACCCCCCCCTATGAGAGCCATCGTGATTTATTATTATTATTATTATTATTATTATTATCATCATCATTTTCATGACAACACCAACAGCATCGCGAGTTTTATTAAAACAGGGGTGCCGAACACATTTCACTCGCTTTTTTTTCTATACGCCGTGTGTGGGACCTGAAACAACCATGCTCGCCTGCAGCAAATAATCGTCTTCCCAACCCTTTGGTCTGCTATATCTCTCCACCACCTCAATCAATGCTACAATCCCCCCCCTTCTATAAAATTATGGATCCGCCCCTCTAAATTCCAATTCAATCTTTGGGCTTTCACCTAGTTGGAGCCTAGCTCTGTTGTGATTGTCTCAAGCTGTGATACAACAGCTAAAGCTTAACAGAATGTTTGAATACAGATTACTATATAGTACTAATTATAACTAACTTCTGAACACCTCAATTGAACGATCAAATAACTCACCCCAGGTATGGAGACAATGGCAGGGAATGCCCCAACGCCCGCGGGTTGGTCCATTTTGTCTTGAGGAAAATGGTAACCATGACCACGGTATGAATCAAGTGTCTGGGCGTCGAAGAGGATGGAGATGTTGAGCGCGTCTGAACGGCGTTGAAATGCAGTGATCCTGTGGATGAAATAAAGAGGAAAATAGAATGAAAAAATGGGATACGACCAATTGAACGTTTATCAACACTGAAACAACCCCTGAGCTGATCAAAGTCAGAGTATGGCTAAATCACAGATAGAATAGATTGAATTTGAACCTAGCGAGTTTTGTGGAGGGAGGAGGCCGAAGAAGCAGGATAAAAACCCTCGAATCAAGGGAGAGACCCAACAAACTCTATTCACATGTGATGTTGAGTCTAGTAGTCGAACTGTAGACCCAAGAGGTAAGAAGCGAGTATAATACTGCTACACACCCGTTTATTCCAGTTAACGAATATGAAAATCTTTGATTTTGTATTTAGGGAGTGACAAATTTTAACTAGCTACGTTTTGAGAGTATGACCACAGTTCAGAAATTGAAGGACTGAAAAGTTTAGAACCCGCATCAAGTAACATTTGCTATTCACCCCGTCCGATCGCTAGTGACATTGAAATTTTTGCTAATGAGAACAGAACTTACTAGCAAGGTTTTGCTATTGGGTTTAAAAGTTAATTCCGTGCCCTGTATGATATTGTTCCCGAGAGATGAGGCGGTAAGCCGTATGGGACGGGCTCGGAATGATCATATAAGAACATGCGTAATAGGTAAATACAAGGCTCGTAATTTACCTATTACGCTTGTTCTTATATGATATTGTTCCCCTTACTTTGCTATGTAGTCTGTAGTCGCTCGTGCTGTGAGGGTCTTCATCTCTGCTTGGCTGGTCTGTGCGCTCAGAATCGTGAAAAAGTACAAAGTGAACTGGAAAAAAAGTACAATAAATAGAGATTCGTTATAATCTCTGTAATCTATAGCAGAACCTAAGTAAGATCATACGTTTAGGGAAATATTTAAAAGTTTAAAGTTAGAGACAACAAATTTTTACTCAGAAGAATGAATCCTGACTTTAAATACAAAATGTTTGGAAACAACGAACCTTAAAAAACAACCTCTGGGCGGATGGAAGTCAGGCACGGCTAATTCACAGATCAAATTAGAATATAGCGTGTAGGTTATAAGTTTTGCGAAGGGAAGAAAACCAAAGAACCCTGGAGAAAATTAAAAAGGGAAGACCTAACGAACTATAATTAAATTTCATGCCAAGTCTGGGAAACGAGTCCGTCCGAGACCCCAGTATGGTAAGATCAACGATTGCATTCAAGCTCAAGCCATATCGCGTTTTATATTCAACACTGAAATCTATTTAACGTCACTATCGTTAATCAAATTCAACGCCCCAAAATCAAGTTCACGATCAAAGTCCATCAAATTGTGTTGAATGTGACGTACAACAGAGCTTGAGCTTGATTGCATTTTCTTGATCGTGAAAGCATTTTATGACCTTGAATCTATTCAAACCAAAACTGCTTCTGTCAGTCAGACGGGCTTACCTTTGATACGAGAGATGCTTGTAGTTTATTCAACCACAGGTAGAGGAAAGGTGCTTCTGCTTGTTTCTTGGGTGCACTACTGAATATTGACTTCTTGGTGGATAACGATACGCTCAGCTAGAATGACAGGAATGAAATATATAAATACATACTGTATAACATGCTAGTGGTGCAGCTGCTGGTGATGATGGGGATGATGATGATAATGATGATGGTGATGATGATGATAATGATGATGATGGGGATGATGATGATGACGATTATAATGATGATAATGATGATGATGATGATAATGATGGCGATGATGATGATGATGATGATAATGATGTTGATAATGATGATGATAATGATGATGATGATAATGATGTTGATAATGATGATGATAATGATGATGATGATAATGATGTTGATGGTGGAATCCATGCAATTGATGGTATTCAAGGGTGGTATTCATTATCAAAGATGAACTCGCCATAGCAAAAAAAAAAGATAATCATTACGATAGATAACACATATTATGATAAGGTCCATCAGACATTCTGTACCTCTTTACTGGACAAAGCAGGCAATAACTGTCCCCAAGTCAACAGCTTGCTGTGACTTTCATTCAAATGTAGAAGAGATGGAAGAAACTTCCATTCTGTCATGTCACATTGAGCCTGTAAAGCATGATGAAGAACATCTACCTCTAAACTGAAAAAAACAAACCAAATTATGCAATTTTATAGAGGTCCTACTTTCGAGGTGACTATTAATGGACAGTTCTCCCAATTATGGTGGACAAGACTAACATGAAAACACAAAATAAAACACACTTTTCTCAGTAGAATTTCTAGCATTTCTTTTGTATTTGCATTGTTTAAAAGCCTGGTATTTCAAGATAATTTTGAGAAAGGTCCATTATTGTTTCAAAACCTAGTTACTCCCTCTGAAGTATCTGTAAAATAAACCATTGAAAAATATTTGAAATATCATATAAAAAGCTTAACTGCTTAGGAAATTAATTAAGCTCTTTCAAAAACGCTCAACTGAATTGTATCCAGTTTTCAGCTCTCCACAAAAATCAATTTCTAATTTCTAATTTCATCTTTGGGCTTTCACCTAGTCTGAGTCTAGCTCAATATAAACAAAGAATAAACAAAGAATGAAAGACAGCCAGTATGAAATAAAGAACATTACATCCACACAATTTTAAAAAGTAGGAATTACAGGTTTATTCACCTAAAACTTGATTTTAAGGGGTCCAAAATTGGATGGTGGAAGCCCTTTTGATGTCTGTAAAGAAAAAGTATCAATAGAAACTTGAATACAAGTTTAATGCCTTTGTACTTATCTTCTTTTATAAGCGTCAAAAAGGATGGATGGATGGATGGATGGATGGATGGATAGATGGATGGATGAATGAATGGAAACATATACATGGTATAATCATATATATTCTTTTTACTTTTCAATAATTTCCTCAATAATGCTGACCAAATCAGCATAATTTGAGTTTGGTAGGACTCCAACACTGGCTAAGCTCTCATAACTATAATTTGGTCAAGGAAATTTAAAGTTGTATTTTCCACTATGTGTCATGCATTGTATACCACATGCCATGTGTTGTGTAACAAATGCCATGTGTCATGTGCCACGTGTGGTGTGTTATGTGTCATGTGTCATGTGTTGTGTGTCTTGTGTCACGTGCCATGTGTTGTGTGTCGTGTGTTATGTGTATGTGTCAACTGAGGATCTAACAAATATATCTTGCAGGATACAAGTCTATGAGTTCAAGTCTTGCTTGCACAAATTGAGACAAGTGTCTGCATACTTCAGTCAGCAAGCTGCACTCAACTGGTGGACTGGCCCTTGAATGAGAACTCTGTGCAGTTTCTTCTGTTTTCTTCAGTTCACTCACAAGAACTCTATAGTTATCTCTTGCAAACTTGAAAGAATAATGCAGTAAATATAAATGCCATTTAAAATAAGTTTTATATATTTTAAATTTGAATTTGAATTTATTTGATTTTTTTTTTCGCCCTAAAGATTTACAAGTCATTTAGGTTAAAGGATAATAATAATTGATTATTAATTATATATTAAGTAGTCAAATAAAAACAATGTGTGTAATTGATACAATACTAGAGAATATTGCTTCCTGCTGGTTGTAGTTGTACAAGTAACCAAGAATGGACCCCTTGTTTACCTCGTATATGCTATACCCCCAGACATACAACTGTCTGTAAATTTTGTCAATTTTCAACTAAAGTTTTCTCAGTGATATAACACTTGACATAATGAATCTTCAGGGTTACTAAAGTTAAGGTGCTCTTTATAGTGCTGGTATTGTTTTTTTAATTTAACTCATTTCAATTTTCGGCTGCCATTTTGACAAAGGATCTATTGGAAGACACTTAAATAAAGAGATATATTTTCATATTTTTTATACATGTGCTGCAGAGTACCAGAGTACAGTACTGGAAGTATCATGTGACAGGGGCGGATCCAGGGGTAGTAAAAGCGGCGACAAGTCACCCCCATTTTGCTCAAATGTCTTAGTATTTTGTTACTAATAGTCACCCCCCCCCCCCTGTCTCCCCCCTTCTAAAATTCCTGGATCTGCCAATATGTGATGATCAGTATTTTATGCTGAACATAACCATAACACATTATTCATCTAATAAATATATTACTTACATCTTTTCTGAAGATTTTCTTTGTAATGAATGAAAGAGAGAAATAAATTTTTTCTGCTCCAGCTAAGTGAGTCAAAATGTTCATGAAATTCTGCCATAATGCACTTGATAAGTTGTTGTACGCTGAAGAATTCCTTTTTATATCTCTTTCTTTTTCCTGTCAGTGCAAAAAGAATAAAAACACATGAATTATAAAAAATTCAACTATTCAATTCCAATTTGATCATAGAATATGAGCCACAGGTCTCATTGCCAATTTAACTCTTCTCAATCGCATGTGCAAAATCAAACTTTCTGTCTCTGACAAAATAAGGTTTTGGTGGAAGTCAATCAAAGTGTTTTCATGACATTGTTGGAAAATGCAAAGTTTCCTAGAGCGTGTGCCTATGAAATGTTGCAAAAATTCCTTGATTGACATCCACCAAAATCAAGTTTCAAGGGTGAAGCCAGGGGGATCAAGGGAGCCAGGGCCAATCCTCTTAGTGGTAACAAATCATTTGGTGACAACTTTTAGATTTTATACAGGTTTTAAAAGTAAAATGTAAAGCTGGATTTTTGTTATTCATATACACTTTTGTAAAAATAAAACATAAAATGTATGGCCATTTTTTTGGTTCAACATTTTGGGGACAAAAACAAAATGGTGGATTTTATAATTCACCCCTCCCCCCTCCCCTTCTCCCTATGGAAAATCCTGGCAACGCCCCTGAGTTTGTAGCAAAAGCAAATTGAATGATTTTACATGATTGTGTAATTGGGAAGCACTGTATAGTAGTTATATGCTCTAATGGTACCATGCATGCTTGGTTTTTAAGACTAGCTTTATATTGTTTTGCTACTTTTGGTGACTTACCACTTGGTCTTTAGCTTTTTCAAAAGCAAACTGACTCAAGGCATGAAAAAAGCTTTCTAACAATGCTCTTTCTCTGGAAACTGGTGGAACAGGACTAGGTGAATGTGAACCTTGCTGTGAACCCTGATTGGCTGAAATAACAATATCAGGAATAAATCTATTAAAACATCAGATATAAATTTGGACAGCACTCTGGTTGGTCGAAAAACTACGATTTAGGGGGCCTTTCATTTATTAGCACATGGGGGTGGGTGGTGGGGCGGCAAAATTGTAGCGGGGTTTTTTTTTTTTGAGAATTTTTTGCCTCTTCAATGGAGGGGGTTGGGTTATGTTCGTAAAGTTTTCCAATAATAATTGAGCTTATTTTATATAACAATCGTAAATTAATCAATATTTACGAGTTTATTGTACTAGTAAGTACATATATATACCTCATAATTTAATAAAAAAATTTTATATGGGGTTTTTAATCGAAAATTCTAGCGTATTCTTATAGGAAGTATGCAAATGTTTACAACTTCAAAACTGTTCTCACCATTTAAAGCTTCTGCCATCTCCTTTCACAAGCACACAACAACAAATCCCTATAAATTCGCGCTCCTTACAATTTCAGCTTACCCAACATAGCTTAATGAGCCTTACAAAAATTTCGAAATACTAAGAAAATCCGGTTTAAACTGCTTTTAGTTTTATAAACTCATTTTTCACACTTCGTCCGCCATTTTGTTTTTTGGTGAGGCGTAACATGTAGATTAGGTGCCAGGACCTCACGGGTTGGTAGTAAGTCACATGAGTCATCATGGAGTCGACGGTACAAAAGAAAACTGTGGCTGAAAATTCTCAACTCTTGGTAAGAAAAACTAAATTTTTAACCCTAAAATGTCACCAAAACTCCTCCTAAACAATTTATCTCACATCTTAAATACTTATTCTATCCATACGTATCTTTTTTATTCGTTACTAACGCTTTTAAAAGTACGAAATTCTTAAAAAAAACATTCCGGTTTCGATCTTCTCAGAAATGAAATCTTTAAGCTTACTAGTTATATATTCGTATCTGATGACAATTATTAATATTTAATGGCGTTGTTGTATTCGCTCTACTACTCTTGATGGTAGAGATGTAAAACCTTTTCTTGTTTTACTTCGATGTCCTTGAGGCTGTGCGGCTGTCTTAGGTATTGTATCACGGTACACTACTTTGTTGACCTTTGAAATTTGATTCCATTATCAGCGAGTTTGATGTCTTTAATATTGCAGATCTGTCCTTGCTTTTTTTCGCAATTTTAAAGGTATAACTAATAGCTTAGCTGCATCTATAACTCTTATAGAATATAACTACAGTAGTGATCTGTAACTTAAATCACTAATTTTTATCAAAACCTTTAAACTAAAGCTTATGTATGAAACCCTAAAACGTTTAATGTTCTTTAGGTAAGTTGAGAAAATAAGTGGTGCATTCTCTATAGGTTCTATGAAAAAAAAATTGAAGGAAGAAAATTGAGACTATTAAGCCATCATTACATTTGAATTCTCAATGCTGAAATGGGAGGAGTGTTATTGTTCATTTCTTGTTTCACATGCCGCAACCTCAATATTATGTAAAGGATATTACATTACATGAGCACTTCCAGATACGGATTTTATCTTTGAGTGCTGAGGTGATATCTCACAAGTGAATGCAGCTAATGAGTAGGATAATCTGTATCTCCAAGCGGCCTTGTAATATCCTGTTTAGATATTATGTACTTATTGACTGAGTGGGAGGGCCATACAGGAAAATATTTGGCTCAAGGTGATGCTGTACGGACTGAGCATGATTTCATATACCCTGTTCCAGAGCGAGTGCGATTTTATATACCCTGTTTTAGAGTAGAATCGCTGAAAACTATACCCTGTTTGGCGGCACGTTACCCATATAGCGAATATAGGGGAGTACCCCCCCCCCCCGGGAATGAGGGGTATTGGTCCAGTTCTATCTACTTCAAACAAGCTCAGCCAGCAAATGTTATATAATCACAAAATAATGGGTATTCATCTGGCTAGTCATGGTCATGCCCAACCACATCGGACTGATCAACATCTGACTAGTCAAGGCGACTGGTTTAAAAGTTGCTTGGCCAGACAAATGCTAAATTTGCCCAGGCATTGTGTTTTTTTTTATTGGTTGCCATTTTGAGTCTGTTAAATATACTGAATATATATTGTCTGTTTGTTTAGTCAAAATGTCAGGATATCAGCGCCTAGATGCAGTGATTGCAACAGATATAAACATGGAAAACGAAAATCAACCAACTGGTGAGTATAGTATTTTACGTTTTACCGCAAGCTCAATAAATCATTACATATAATGGTACCTCATTAAGTAAACACCCTTGGCTCCTTGCCTGGTTTCCAGGGACTAAATATCTTGTGTTTTCTATTTCTTCAAGACATGACTATAAAAGACAAAAGAATATTTAACTGTCATTCTGTCTATCTATAGGTGTTGTCATCGCCAGTAGTAAACTTACCGCAGAAGCTTGTGAAGTTAGAAATCAGACAGTCAACTGGCAATCTTATGTACAGTAAGTAGTCATTGACTTCTGAGCAGTATCTGGGAAATTATATTTTATCTGACTAGCAAACAGAAGGTCACCGGTTCAAATCCCACCTGGAGCTTGGAATCTTTTCTTTTGAGCAAAATTTGCTTGATGAAACATGTTGCACCTTTAATAATTTTCAAAGCAACAAAAACATCTTAATACTTACATGAGTGAATATCAGTTTGTTGTTGAATTCTTTACTGTGTGTCACTTCTGGTAATATCTGTGTTGGCTGTGAAAAGACACCAAGACCAAAGCAACTATGTGTATCCCAAGAACACTAGAAAATGCAAGTGCCTCATGGGATATTCCATTCCATTCCATGTGCAGTGTAGTGCAGTGTAGTGTAGTGTAGTGTAGTGTAGTGTAGTGTAGTGTAGTGTAGTGTAGTGT